ATAAGAGAAAGATAGGATGAACTTCATATTTTAATTACTATATCTTATTAATGAACTTTTACTGGCTTCAAATGAGCTGCGCGCATTCATGAAATATTATACATAATTTGCGGTCATTACCGACTATACAAAAGTTAACTGTTGAACTTACCTTTAGACAGACGAAGAAAAAACTGAGTATAGCTAACACTTTTGTCAGGGGTCTCATTCTTGAAATGTCGTGTCAGGAACGGAATAGCACAAGTTGTAGTTTCCTCTGGCTTCAGTGGAAGTAGGAATGCTTTGGTATACGTATACTTCTATTTATAAATCTGTACTTGGTCGACGTTCTTCATCGTTCTTCATTCCCGATGTTCGTTCTTTTTTTCCCCGTAACAGCTCGTAACAGTTCGTGTCTAGCGTACGGACTAATTTGCATTGACTGCGTCTATCACTGATGGGATGTATGAAGGCGGGTCTGAAGGTATGTGCGTGATAAACTTGCCATGGCTTGTCAGTCTAATTCATCCCACGGAGCCCCGCGGGTTATAAGGGATTATATTCGTAAACTGAATGTTAAGATAACAAAATAAAATTGAAAGCATATGAATATTCTGTTATCCAAACATTCACTTTCAAATTAATGATGTTTGACCACACTAGTTATAAACGACTTTCACACAAGGTCCATTTTCATCAGTTCATTTTGTTCACATGGAAATAGATTTTAACGTTTATTGTGCTTTTGCCCCAATAGCCTCGTTTTGTAAAATCCCCAAAGTTTGCGCACACAGCTGTTTCTCTTTGATCTTAAGCCCAATCACAAACCAATCGTTAATAGTACTGTGCACCAAACATGAGGAATAACTACATGAAAACGAGGCGCCGATGGGCAACAATAAACAGGACAGTCTATTCGTCCGGTTTCGCGCTTTCTGTGCGAAAGGCGGCAAAGTCGTGTTCCGAATTCATCAATTCAAAGACCTGACAATTCATGATTAAAACCACTAGAGGCATAGCCAGAGGGTTATCATATTAGTAACAAACCACAGGTGTGTTTCCTGATTTGCCGGTATATATGCATTCGTTAAGTACTGACGCACATATAAGGCTAAGGTCAAACAAGGTTGCTTCGCTTTCTTTCAAACTTTCTGCAAAAAGATTCTTCGATATTTTGAGTAGACTCTTAAGTAGTAGTTAATTTAATTTCCGGAAAGTAGTTAATTTAATTTCCTTCAAAATGTTAAAGTATTTTGTAATCTTTTCCAGACAGTTCTGACCTGAACAACGACAGCTTATTCGAAACTGTACTGCCTATAAAGCGAACCTCCATAGTTGAGGAATCAATTAGCATTTCTCACGGCCGATTTTCCGCCATTTTTGGAGGTACTGCCTCTCCCACGTTTGAGAGTCTCAACGCCATGCGACCAGGCCTGGTAGGAATATATCGCAAAAATTGAGTGTTCGACGCATTTTGAACTTGAAATTTCTTAATTTCTTGATGTAATAAACGATGATAATTTTAATGGGTTTTTTCGGTGAATACTACAAATATAGCGTGTCATACATAGGCTGATAGACCACAAAACTGACTAATTGTCCTTTGTCGGCCGTGTTGTGTCTGTTGACCTCCACTTGCAAATAATCAAAGCGTGTAATGGTTAGTAATCATGTGTAGAAATCCACATAAGTTGAATAGCAATGGGGTAATTGAATAAATTGCAATATTAATTATACTATCCAGTTTCATAATATAGAAAAATGTTCAGCTAAAGCAACGTTAGACACGTTCATGTATGGCATTTGGCTCGGCATTTGGAGAAAAAATGTAAAAATTGCATAGTTGACATCGTTATTAGTAGGTCGCTAAACCTCAAAGCTTTTCACGATCGAACCCCAGCAATGTTGAAAGGACCTAGGGTATTGATGCATATTTAATTAATAAACATTACTGTCTGGTGTCTTGAAACCAAATTTCGCTTAGCCTGCGTGGCAGGCCCTCAATTTTATGGGGGGCCTGATTTGCAGCGGGCGCGGGGCAAAATCCTGCCCGCTGCAAATCAGGCCGCCCATAAAATTGAGGGCCTGCCACGCAGGCTAAATTTCGCTATGACCTATGTGTTTAAACACTTAGGTATATCTTTTTTATTTTAAGAGGATAACTTAGTAAGCGTATGTTTATCTCCCCTATAGTGCCCTCAAATTTGACAGATTTGGGACAGATTTAAAAATCTCGGCCCATTCAAAGCATACTCAGTCCAGTTTTAGCTTTGAGACCAATGGCATAGGAGTATCAAAATGTTAAATGCTATCAGCCCATAATTTGAAAGAGTCACTGATTAGGAGAAGTTCAACGCAAGTTAATTATAATCTTAGAAACAGTAATACTGACATAGCGCTTCCAAAACCGAGAAGGGAGTTCCTGAAAAAAGCTTGAAATACAGGGGGGCAAAACTTTGGAGCAACCTTTCTCGGGATGCGAAAGAGGCGCAATCTATTTATTCCTTTAAAATGAATATCTAAATTAGTATAGTAATTAATATTTTAATATGAGTATTAAAATACTCATGTATATAGGACACAACTTCCCATATTTCAGTTTTAAAAGTCCAGTACCTGCCTCGTACCCAGGCGTCTCTTTGTAAAAAAAACAGTGATGCGCATATGACGAGTTTACATGAAGTATTGTAGTGGGGAGAGATGGCGAAGGGGCTGATGGGAAGAGTGCACTTGAACTGCTCCCCAGCACGCACCCTTCCCAACAGCCCCTTCGCGCGTCGGCTGCCTACCTGAATACTTCATGTAAGCGCCTGGGTATGAGGCAGGTCCAGTACTATAACATGCATTCAAATAGGGGATCAAGGGACTGGTCTCAAATATTTTGTGGACGATATAGAGAGACGGTGAAATGGTCATTAACGCAGTACAACTTATAAGACGTATTACCATGTTTCAGTATAATGGTAACTTGGGTGGGCAAAATCAAGTTTGTCAGCATGGGGAGAAAAAAATATAAGAAAGTTTTATTTTTGTTTTTTAAGAGCATGTTTTTTTTCGTTCAGATGCATTTTGTCTAAAGTTACAATACAATAATGAACACTCTCCAAGGAGGCTTTTCAGTGATCATTTACAATAGGTAACTAAACTAGTTATGCACTGAAAACGAAATACTATTCCTAAGATAATATAAACTGGTTTAGTAATTGAGTTTTCAATTTTTGCTTAAAAATATGCACAGAGTCACTTACTTTTAGAAAGAAGTTTCTGAGTTTAAATGAGTTCCATAAGCTAACTGTTCTGAATAAAAAAATCTTTGACTCCACTGGCGGTTTTAAACAGTGGAATATTTAGCAGTTATGAGCTTCTGGTAATCCGCTTACCCACATCACATGTCAGTACTAGATAAAACATGAGCAGCCGATCTGAATCTTATATACAAACTTGAGCCGAAGGCGAGAGTTTGTATATCAGATACAGATCGCATGCGAATGTTTTATCGTACTTAAAAAATGACCCATCTTATGAGTTCATTGGCGAAGTAATTTTAAAAATAAACATTGTCTAAGCTGAGAAAATCAAAGCTGAAGTTTATGTAAATCAGGACAAATCTTTATCCGATTTACAAAACATTGATTAAACATTCATTTCTTTCGTATTTTCCTCGTGAATCGGAATTATTAATGAATTTTTTAACGTTTAATAAACTGACAAAACAAGTAACGGTTATTATGGCTTGTTGGGTGCTTCCTTTTATTTTATGGACTGCCATTGATATTGTGTTCAACATCTATATGGATAGAATGGGCATGCATTTCAAAGTGGGGAGGGGGCACCGGGGGCGCTCCCCACACTGCAAATCGAAAAGATCAAAAGACCCAAAAAGAGTCGCTTGACTCCAGAGCTATTTTTATGGTCGTTTTGGTCATTTTCAACGCACAGTCGGCAACCGATTTTAGTGATGCATCGTGTGGAAACTTGACCGATATTTCGATAACCGATATTGAAGGACCGATATTTTGCCGATACTGATATTCTACGTCATTCCACAAAATTCAAAGATGACAGTTCTACTTTAATACTTTTGAATTTAATTCAATTCATTTGTTTCTAATATTGAAAATATCAAACTGCCTTTGATTCCTTGGGGGTGAGGCAGCACTTTCCTTGCGATAGTAACTTCTAGTATTTAATAACAGTTGCTATAAATATCGGTAATATCAACAACAAAATTACCGATACCGATATTTCTATTTTGGTACCGATAAGCCGATACACCGTATATGGATATCGGCGCATCACTAACCGATCTGCCACATAGATAAAGATATCTATGATCTGCCAGAAGACTTGCTGGAGTCTGACAAAAAGCTGAACTGCGCTAGACTCCACATTTAGCAAAAATAATAACGGGAAAATGTGCCAAATCTGGGCGGGAAATTGGATGAAAACGCTTATCACATGCATATATAGTACTGGGCGTTATTGTCCACCTACTAATCTACTATTTGCAGTTTAAGATTTTCGGCTTGTTGATCATGCGTTAGCGGATTAAATACTATTTTAGCAAATCTAATCTCAAAACCACGTGCCAAATGGCGTGGCCTTTTGTTGTCTTTTTAAGGCTTTTTTGTTAATAAATAGTTTTCTAAACAGCTTTATAAGTATATAGACTGCTGATTTCGATTGTTAAAACCAATCAATTGTTAATAATTGTGGACTAATATAATCATTTTTTAAAAATTCCCTGAAAATGTGTTCCTTTTTGCTCGTATTTTTTATTCATTATTTTTTTATTATTTGCTATTATTTTTTCGTTCCATCGTAAAACCGTTATCCATCATTGAAATATTTTCATGAGCTCAAATATTCATCATTCTCAACATTAAACTGTGAGTTATTTATTCAAAGACGAGTTAATTCATGCAGATATTCATTACCGAATATCATTATCTGTTCCCCGTTGAATACTGAAGTCTAAACCACACTCTCTTATATTTAAGAAGATTATATTCCATCGATAGCAAGCCTTAGATTATAATGTCTTTAATCTTTAAAATACATGCAGTCGCGACTCGACTTAGGTTGAAAAAAAACCCTGAATTTCAGTGAGCCATATTGCACGTAAATTAAAGTATAAAACTCAAGTCGCGACATTTCATTTATCGTTCACTTTTGCCATACATAACCCTTTTAACTGGGAAGCTAAGAATGGCCGAATCTTCTTTACAATCGCAATGTGAATCGCGGAGTTTCTCGCTTTTCTGGGGATCCGGCAGCGTGCCTTGCTGGCGAGTCATGATTTGTTTGGAAGAGAAAGGTCTGCGGGAGTACAACAGCAAGCAGTTGTCATTTTTGAATCAAGATCACAAATCTGATGAAGTCGTCGACATTAACCCACGAGGACAGGTAAGGTTGCCATTTTAAAACTTGACTTTACAATTTTTCAGTCTAGTATAGTCTGATTTCCCCTGAAGTAATATTGGGTCTAAAAGGAATAACCCATACTACTAGATCTTTAGAGAAATAAAAAGAGTCATATAGTTTAATTAAAATTACTAAAAAATATTTCTTTCTCTCTTCCTATACAGTTACCAGCTTTCAAGCATGATGACACCATTCTGAATGAATCCTTAGGAATATGTCACTATTTGGAGGTTTGCAGCCTATGGCTTTTACTTTTACTTGTTTCATGTTATTTTCTTCTGATGAGTGATGTCTTAAACCTTGGCAAACTAGGCAACAATATATTCTGTATTTAAAAGTCTAAAGCAAGTCTAAAAATTTAGTTGCATCATTGTCTGTTTCTCCTATCCCCACCAAAACAAATTCTGAAAATGTTTCGTTTACCAAGCATTATTTTTGTTACGGAATCAATGTTCCCTGTTTTTTACCTAACCGCGGCTATTTTTAAGTCCACGTATATACGGGTTATAACATCACCTACATGGACATTATAGTCATTACCCTAAATTATATTCTTCAATTTTAGGATACGTTCCCAGACAAAGGCACAAAGTTGTTGCCAGATGATCAAAAAGAAAAGGCCCTAGCTTTGCAGAGAGTTTATGAGGTCTGTATTTTGTGATACTCTAGAGAAGGTCTTAAGCAGTGGCGTAACGGAACCTCCTAAAAAATAAAATTTTTTCGGACTATGACATGTAGAAAAGAATCCGCAAAAATTTTTCGCATCTATGTCTACTAAAAAAAGGGGTCCAAATTTCACAATTTTACCAATTTCTGTTTTTGGGGGTGGCCCGTTGCAAATTTTCTGGTCCTTTATACCTGAGGCTCGGACCAATTTTCCCAATATACTAGCAAACATTTTATGGTCATTTTTGTCGGGGGCCTCCCAGGTTTGGGGACCCCGTCACTGAGCACCCAAACACCCCTCGGTTACGCCACTGGTCTCAAAGTAAAATAGGAACTATGATTTGTGTATTTTTGGACTGGAAGACTGCATTCTGCCCTTTTCCGGCTCGAGGTAATTTCTCTGGCATTCCTAATTCTAAACTGACTAAATATTAGGATTTTTTACTTTACAGGCTCTAACTTTTCAGAGAAAATGGCAACAAGTTTTGTATTATGTGGTTCACACTCCTGCCGATGAAACAAAACAAGTATTATTTAAATTATTTAATGAACTATGAAATTTCGATTTTCGACCCATCATTACCAGAACTTATATTAATTTAAAGCATTTGCTTCTTCATTATTTCTAAAGGACGTAATGACAAAAAACAAAAAGGAATTGATCGAAGAGCTTCAACTTTGGGAAACGTATCTTCAGAGTGTACGTATATAATTGTTTGATTTATGTTTATTTTAATTCCTTGGTTTCCATTTCCTGATCTTCCTACCATAATAAACGACTAGGTAGGGGCGGGAGAAATATTTCACTTTCTGGGACTGCAAAAGAACATTGAAAGTTTTCTGCAAATGATGGAGTAAGTCGACACTTGGACACTAGCTGCACTGTGTGACGCTAACAGTTGTCATGGATGTCATGCTATATATTTTAACAAAAATATTTTCAGTGCACTGAGAGTCTTGATAATACTTCAAGGAATACATAAACTTCATTTAGACAACATGCATCCTAAGTCTGATCCTATAAAGTAAATACAGTTGCAAAAAAGGGCACTATTGGGGGAGCAACTTTGGGGGAGCACTATCAGGGCACAGAAAATTACACCAGTCTGCAGGCACAGAAAATTTTAAAAATCAGGTGTCATAGAATCTAGATGCACTTGCCATACAACATTTGTTACATCATTCTATAGTCTATTAAATGAGGGAACGGACTATAAGTGATATTTGTTGTGTTGGTGTAATGTACTCAGGTGAATAAGATGTTGTGTAATGTTACTCTGAGTGTATATCCACACCGGGCAGGCTTGAAAAATATACCTGGCCACTGTGGGATTGGAACCTACGACCTTTGGAATACTAGCCCAATGCTCTGTCAACTGGGCTACGAAGGTTCGAATCCCACAGTGGCCACGGGTTCGAATCCTACAGTAGCCAGGCATATTTTTCAAGCCTGTCCGGTGTGGATATACACTCAGAGTAACATTACACAAGGGACTATAAGTGTTAATTAAACAATCAGTCAGTTCCCTCAAACATTTCTTACAATCCTTCAAAACTTAGAATCTACCAATGCAAGATTCCTACTGTGATCACAGAAACGTTTGATAGTGTAAAGCAGGTTTAATAGTTGACTGTCAAGCGCGAACGAAAGTTGCAACTCTCGTTAACTCTCCGGCATCCTAGCTCATTTACCCAAATTAAAGTTTCATCGTCCAATCTTTCTCACATCTAGCACAAAGGTGACTTCTATCTCACTGGCAGTAAATTCACAATGGCCGATGCTGTTTTCTTCCCACAATTAGCTATCATAATACGCATGCATCCAAATCTCAGCAAGACTTTCCCACTCATGGGGGATTACTACAACAGATTATCTCAACGGAAATCAATACAAGACACGTGGCCACCCCATTGGAAAGAAGTCGGCGGGCAGGATCTTTTTGATGAAAAATTTGATCCCCACGATTTTGATGTCACACGTTTCTTTGGTTAGACATCTATAACTAAATCTCTAAACTTATAACTAACTAAATTTATCAGTATGAGAAATTGTTTGAAACAAATAAAGGATATCAAAGAGGAAAATTAAAAATTGGTGGTTTTGATCGAAATCTTGTCTGTCTTTCAAAACAGTCTTAATTGTATAACCAAACCAGCCAGCGCTGTAACCAAGCCAGTAATACGCCATACTGTGGTAACAGCGACAAACAAGACAGACAAGACGTTAATCAAAATCACAAAAACTGAATAAGTTTTATCAAGGTCGCCTAATTTCGCCCATGTGCACCCAATTTTTTAACTTTGCCTAACAGTCTATTCGCCTAATGTCGCCTAATTTTATAACCATTGGATGGTTATGCCGTTGACTGTCTTCGGCATAACCATTCAACTTGGATGGTTATGCCGTTGTCTGTCTTCGGCATAACCATTCAACTTGGATGGTTATGCCGTTGAATGTCTTCGGCAAAAACATTCAACTTGGATGGTTATGCCGTTGACTGTCTCTTCGGCATAACCATTCAACTTGGATGGCATAAACATTTAACTTAGATGTCTATGCCGTTGAATATGTTCGGCATAAACATTGGATGGTTATGCCGTTGACTGTCTCTTCGGCATAACCATTCAACTTTGATGGTTATGCCGTTGACTGTCTTCGGCATAACCATTCAACTTGGATGGTTATTCTGTGCGATAAGCGAATATTATTGGAAAGAGGGCTTCTATATACGTTGTAATCACCAAATAAACAGCTCATGCACACATTTTTCCACTTCGTCGTAAGTTGACAGTGATGATGTGAACATTGATTTTAAGGGAAGCCTCACATATCGATTTTGTCCATGAGAAACGTCATATGTTCGTTTCTCTGGAGACCCCCCCCCACCCCCCTTAGAAACGTCACACATAGTTATCGATATTTTGTTCTTACAGTACACTATGAGTACACATAAGGTAATTTTCTACTATTTTTTTTCGGTCGGCTATTGGCGATGCTTCCGCGAGGAATATGTCATCTTCTGCTGACATACTCTTTTTTTATTAATATATATATGAACTTCAAAATTTCCAACGTTTCTCAAAACAACTTTTTTTGCATGAAATATTGATAATTTTAGCGCGTTTTTCTTGAAATTTGAGTGTTTTCAATGCAAGGAAGGCGTAATAATATAAATGTATAGGTATAGAACAGGTATGGTATTACGAATATATAGACTGCTGTTTGTATCAAATTGTTTTCTTTTTTATACTCTGCAAAGATAAAAACTATCGATTTTTTCCATGATGTTTACAGAGAAACGTCACAGCTGCCAACCCCCCCCCCCCCAAACGAACATATGACGTTTCTCGTGGAAAAAATCGATATGTGAGGCTTCCCTAAGGAGTTATGTAAGTCTTCTACCAGCAACCAATCGACAATATTTATTTTGTTTTCATCTGTGTTCATCGCCGTGGACTAGAATTTGTTCATTATCCTAGTGCTAGGCTGGTTATAAAGCAGGGAATCAGGGATTTTTTAGCAGCTCGACCTTTGTAGTATATTTTATTTGTAAATCGTTTTTGACATTCTAAAGTTTTATTGTCTAAAGCTAGCATTAAAAGTTCAAGGCAGGGTACAGTCCGTATGTAAACAAAGCCTTTGTTTACATTTCGGTATTCAAAATATTGATATTCGACAACTATTTATATTCTTATACTTTTACAGTATAATAAATGATCAAGATACAACAATCAGGATTTGCAATGCCAAGAACATAAAATGAAATAAAAACCTAATTAAGTGTTTATATAGCACGGCAGGAGACTCCTATGCGCGCATGCGCAGACCGGACTGTACCCTATCTTTTAATTTCGGTTCATAGTTCTTCACGAGAAACGCGGTTCAATTCATCCTTCAAAAACGTTTCCCTCGCATCATTATTTGGTAAATATCTTTTCAAAATACCATCGCGTCGTTTCTCAAACTCAGGGACTGACATTGCCCCCCGGAAAAACTCGCACGACGATTTAACAGCCACGTTAAAAGGGGAAGGCTTCCAATTCAATTTCTCTGAAATTTTGGTCGTATTAACCGGGCCACGGGTCACGGAGGGATACCAATGTACATTTGCTTGATCTGTCCTGTTAAAAACCACATCTACCCCTAAAGACTCCCCCATTATCCCTATGAAACCCTCAAGGGTAACCGGTTCAAAAGCAACATTATAAGCTTCGTTATAAACGTTATAAAGTTCAACTTCCAGAAGTTTGATTATTAGGTCTGACAGGTCCTCTGAGTAAACCAAACTAATTAGTTTATTTTCTCTCGGGTTTAAATGCACTGGCCCAAATGAACCATCGAGTTGGTGGGTCAGTAACCAGATATGATAATCCCAAAACCGGTTTGTGGTGTCACGTGGGCCGATGACGTCAGGCAGACGAAGGGAGACATAATTTATGCCATTTAAGTTTCGTTCATTTTGAAGAACGTCTTCGCATGCCAACTTTTGGTGACCATAGTAATCAGCCATATTTAGTTCGTGTCGTTCGCGCGGGTCGCGTGGTCTAATGGCATCCTCTTCCCGACTGGGTCCCCCATGGGGAGTCTTTATGCACACTTCGTACACTGAGTCTGAACTGATGTAAATATAGCGGCCAAATCTTGCCCGTAGAACGTGTAGAATGTTCTAAATTGATGTAAATTATTAAACACGTTAATTCGACATTAATACTTCATTACTTCATGTTATTCACGTGAATAAAAATATAATTGTGAAAAACTCAAATTGGCACTCGAAACCATGCTTTTTTACCACTAAGAATCTCAAATGAGTTGCAATCCGAATCTTGACCATAATTAACATAATGATCCTTTGATGTAATTTTGAAATAGTAATATGGAAATCACCTACTTTACATAATTATTGAGTAACCAATCATAAATCAGTGTGACCAGACAAGGTTTGGTTATAGATTCATGTCTCGCTATTTATGAATGCTAACCCTAATACTCACCCTGACCCTAACCCTAACCGCTAACCCTGACTCATAAACAGCGAGGCATGAGTCTATATCCCAAGGTTTCTGTCGCGGGTTCGATCGCTCAGGCGGCACGCCTGCTATGCCCGGGCTACTATTCATAGAGCTTGCATGCAGCCACTGATCTATATAGATTGCAATTCCCATATTTCAATATCCCATCATGCATTGCCCGGCAATGATATCACAGCCACTGATCTATATAGATTGCTATTGCATTGCACTGTGCCCAACGAAGGGCCTGCGGAGGAGGCAGCCACAACAGGCCAACAGCGCTACGTTTACCCGAGTTATAGAAGGAATAAATTGGGCAATTAACAAATTTTATATATACCTGCATATCTTCCATATAATAAGAAGAATAATCCACGACAGCGTCGTAATACTGTGTCGAATTTACAAGCTCGGTGCAATTATAAATGTCACTACGATCACAGACCATCCGTCGTACGTACGGATCAATACGAGACTTAGAATCGAAGTAATACCGTCCACGATTTAGAATAGTCACATTGTAGCTCTCAATTGAAAGCAACTTGGCCGCAAGCGAGCTTCCGATAAAGCCATTGCCACCCAAAATTAGAATTTGAAGCGTCGAATTTCGCGTCGAATTTTGCGTCGAATTTTGCGTCGGATTTGCGTGCGCGACGTTCTTGGTTGTAAGAGGCAAATACATAGCGGTGGTGTACAGCAAGATGAGCGAATAAAAGAGACTCATTTTGAACTGCCCGGTCAGTACGTGGAGTGCATTCACAAAGGCAGACATTGATCAGTATTGACTGTATTGTGTGATATTACATTGGTGATTTAGGATATTTATGCCATATTCACACTGCAGCATTCAAAGAGTACAATATAGCACTGATTAATTGTGATTTGATACGCGCTTAGTTGAAATATCACACCGAATACCAGTGACTCGTCATTTGATTCTTCTGTGCGTGCAACGGAGGCTTCGATCCTGCAGTCACCACATGCAAAAAATGTTGCCAAGTTGTGAGTTGTGGAAGCCCCCCACTGCGAAAGCTAAGTCATGGAAGGTGGGCCATTGTGGATTCATTTTAAAGTGTGTAGCGCATCGTCATCTTCCACAATTCACTCAGCCGAATCTCCAGCAAACGTTCGTGACTGCGAAGGCAATCACTTGCGCTATTGGGATAATGGTAGCTGTCGATTTGAAGCCGTATACTATTGTAGAGAACGAGGGTTTTAAAGAACTTTTGCGAATCCTTGAACCTCAGAATCTCATAATGTCGAGAAAGGAACTGACGCAGACCGTTGTCCTTGACATCCACATCAGGGATTACCCTCTGGAACTTTTGTCTGTGGAGAGCCCACTCATAATACTCCCACATATCAAGCTTCACACTTTGATCATTGGTCAACAAAAATTGCTTGGATCCGAGCTATCGTAAATCGTGCCTACAAAATTGCTAATGCCACTCTCCCGTACAATGAATTAAAACAAATTCAACATTTCTTGTCTTGGAATGGTTTCCCTCGAAAATTAACCCCAAGACTTATTAACCAATATAATGTATATGTACCCTGGTTATGCTGTGCTACATTGTGGTTTAGTGTGCTATGGTACTGTGTGGTGTTGTATAGCGGGGTACAGTATGGTATGCTGTGGTATAGAGCTGTATGGTTTTCTATAGTGTGGTATAGTGTCGGATAATGTGGTATAGTACGGTATAGTGCTGTATTGTGCGGTATAGTGTAGTATAGTGCTGTATAGTGTGGTATAGTCATAGTGTGGACAGTGTGGTATAGTGTGGTATATTGTTATATAGTGCTGTATGATGTGGTATAGTGTGGTATACATAAGGAAATAACCAGGATTGATTTGAAATCTACACATGTCACGCAGAGTCACGAATTATAAATGGTTAGGAGGTTAGGGATAGGGTTGGATTTGGATTTGGTTGAAATCGTGATTGCGTGACATGAAAAGATACAAATCTCGAAGATTTCCCGAAAGTGTTCCGATTATGTATCGACAGATCACGGAAAAATGGAAAATATCGGACCGAAAACCACCATTTAATTTTTGGGCTGAAAGAAGGCTTTAAAAAGTTACCTATAAAATGGCGTATATAGTATGTTTTCGAATGAATTCTTGAAACCAAAATGTGGTGTAGTTTTCCGTGAATGTACGGCCGTTTTTTGCGTTGTCTTTCAAGCAACGTTCGGGCGTTGTCGCCGAAGAACACGACACGAAATTCTGCTGTAAACACACACGTGGGCATTCGTTGCAGGTTGCTGGCAAGCATGGCAGATGCTGAAACGGCAGAAGGGAAACTGAGCAAAAAGTTAGTATTTTTAATTGTATATTTATTGCATTTATGTGTTAGATTTGTGGTGGAATGTGTTTCGAACTTAGGTACGGTTTAACTTTTGTTTTTAATACAGCGAACAGAAGAGGCGATTGAAAGCCGAGAAAAAAGCAAAAGATAAAGAGGCGAAACTAGCAGAATTACAAAAAGTAAATAAATGTCGTTTTATAGTCTGGTTGTTTTACATATTTGGGAAATGGTTTACTTTTATGATGATTTCTATGGGTGAGCGTAGTTAAGAAACCAAGCAACCATTTATGATTTGAGAAATATTCAAGTTAATATATATTCATGGTGGTTTTTTATATCTGGTCATTCTGGTGGACTGTGATGGTTTTGTTGTGGTTGTGTGTAGATATAAATAATTAGATTTTCAGACATTTTATGCCAGAGATGAATATGTGTAAGTGTCAACACAACATCCACACAAATTAGCAACAGTCGCACAATTTCTGACGGAAAAAAATATATACCTATAAGGGCTATGGAATTAAGGTATAAGTTTACTGTCACCTAAATTTTCAAAAGTTGATGCGGCTTTTCCCCATCATTATTCATTTTAAAGGCGTCAAATTCAACAAGTTTTGACCAAATATTCGTAATAATTTTTGATGACTCTTGCGCATTTAGCGAACACTCTAGTCCGTCGTTGGCTACGCTTCGTAAGTATAAAATACAGACCGTATTCTTACAAAATTTCAACAGAAATCAAATTTATAAAGCACTTTGTATAAAAGTAAGAAAAAATAATGAAATAATGAAAATTTTCACACAGCTTATGATGACCTGGGTGGGTGACAGTAAACTGATACCCCAACTCCATCAGCCTGACAAACATACCATCTTGGTTTTAGCAGAGTATAAGGACAGTGTAAAGGCCTGTCTATATGATACGATTAGTCATATAGAATTCTTATTCTGGCATATGTATTAGAATAAACATAACATGAAGAAATTTTGAAAAAAACTAAATGAAGAGAAACGTTTGGTGTGTGTGTCGGTGTGAAGAGAAATTGTTGCATTAGCCGCATATAGAAATTGTTGCATCAGCCGCGGAATGACAATCTTGTATGATTAATCCTATCATGTAGACATGTGAATTTGGTGGCTGGCAATGAGAACAACATATTCGCAATGGATACAGTACATAATCATCTGCCTTGATTTCAAGCTATTTTTTGGGTGCAGAATAACAAATTTGGGAAGTGTTTATTATCAGATAAACTACTGTATAGTAGCTGCAGGTTGTAGATTGTTAAGAAGTCTTATGTATTTTTTTTTCAGCCAGAAGAGGTTGACACAAAAGGAAAGAAAATTAATGAATTAGATGAAACATTAGACCCAAATGTACGAATTGTATTTTTGTTTACATTTGAGAATTGATCTGTTGGATATTGTGGTACATACAAAGCTAAATTCCACGTAAATGATATCCTGGTGGTGTGTCCATACTTGTCTTGTACCAGACCAAACAACTGTATGGCACTGCCAAAGTGAAAGATAAAGTTGTTAGCTTTTCCATGTAAATGATATCCTGGTGGTGTGTTCATACAACCATACTTGTCTTGCACCAGAACAAACAACTGTATGGCACTGCCAAAGAGAAAGAGAAAGTTGTTACTAGCTACTCTCACAGACCTTGCATTCACAAAATAATCAGATATTATTAGCCTCAACAATACAATAATTTAGTACATATTCAACTAAGGGAGGAGTCAAAAATTGAGTACGGTAAAAAATTTTGCATTTCTTGTGTCTGCCTAGATTGTTAAATGATGTTATTTCTAATTTGTTCTTTATATATGGGAGGGATGGGGTTTAATTTTCCAAACTTTTTGCATACATTCAGTAGTAAATGGATACTTCCAAATCCTTTTAGAGAGTGTACCAAAAGCAAACATACCAATGCACCAGACTTGACAAGGAACAAACTTTATTGTTTGTTAAAGGGGAAGTGTTGAACATTAGTTGGTTAATCCACCCACACCTCTTGCTAACACAGAAAGCTGAAATGTGCCCATACAGTATGCAGTAATCTTAGTTATTAATTCATCAATATTAAATCAGCAATTTCCATGACTGGCTCATGTCTAAATGTACATTTTATTATAATAAAAGTTTTTTACAATTCATTCAATAAAATGTTGCTTTTTAACTTAGAAATATTTTGAAATCCGAAGTAATGCTGTCGCCAACTTGAAACAAAGTAGTACATTGCCCTATCCGCACAAGTTTCATGTTTCTATATCGTTGCAAGAATTTATTGAGAAATATGGTGATTGTGAAGAGGGAAAATGGCTGGAAGATGTTGTTTCTGTTGCTGGTACGTGTGTGGTAATGGGTAATTCCAGAAAACATCCATACCACCCCAACAGAGGAAATTGGAAGTTAACCCAATACCCCCTTCGGATGTCCTAATACATTTACTATTATCAGAAACAATTTTGTCTCCCTTCCCCCTCCGGACGGCAAAAATTTCCTCTGTGGGGGGAGTATGGATCTTTTCTGGAACGACCCAATCCTATCACAAAGTTTGTTAAATTAAGTAAGGCATGCAGCAGACTTTCCAAATATAAGTTTCTGAACATGATACAGGTGTATCGGAAATTATTATAATACAGTAAATCCTGCTTGGGTCATAATGCGTCATTCCAGAAAACATCCATATGCCCACCATGCAGAAAATTGGAAGCTAACACACTACCCACTTCAAACATTCTACAGTGGTTGATTTTTACTATTTTTGATATCAGAAGTTCATCCCCCCCCCCTCCTTTCCAGATGGCCAAAATTTTCTTTGTGGTGGGAGTGTGGATCTTGTCTGGAACAACTGTGGCAATGAATAAAAATGTTTTAAAGACCTGTTTGCATTTTATCAATGGCATGTTTTATCAGTAACATGGTCATTTTGCAACAGGTCAACACTAAAAAACCCAGCAAATAGAACAAATGAATCTGATATAGTGGTGAGTTTGTGGGACAAGCTGGTGACATTCAATCAAAAGTAATTACATGTACAAAACAATTTCGAAATTTAGATGTTTCGGGTAGTTAAATCTTTCAATCAACATCTTGAATATTTTCAATTGTACCTAGATCGAAATGATTTGCAGATTGCAATATGTTTATTTTTAGGCAGAGTCCATGCTAAACGATTGCAGGGACCAAAACTAATATTTTATGACCTGCGTGGAGAAGGAACAAAATTACAAATTATGGCAGATGCAAGGTAAAATTCATCCCTAACCCAATGGGTGCCGCCACTTTCCCCTTGATGAGTAAAATCATTTGGCAAAAGACAGAGTAAATACAGTATAAAGTAGGGTGGAATGTAGGGTGAGGTAAACCGTAAAAAAATGATGTTTTTTGAAAACCGAAATACTCGATGTTACTTTTGGAGAAAAACAGGAAAAAATGAAGAAAAAAAACTGTATAAAATCATACTGTACTAAAATCAAAGTATACTTACACAAGTTTATTGCAAATTAATTAAGTTTTGGCATTTACACATTTGATTGAAATTTATTCAAAATACCTTACATTTAATATCTTGCATGAGTACTGAGTAGCGTGTTGTGTCTTTTTTACTGTAGTTTCAATTTTCGAACATATTTTTTAAAATACCCAGTTCACTTGGTTTTTTCAGGTTTTTTTGGTCGGTTTTCGGTTTTTTGTAGAAACCTCCTCATGCTAGTGGAATGCACTTTAGTTAATACAATACAAGTTGTGTAATTTGTATATACAGACATCAAAATAGAAGATTCTTCCTGCTTCTACTTGTGTACTCTCTGGTTTGATTGTTTATTGTATTGAGACATTTTTTGAGTCTATAATAAAACAATCATTGGATTTGGCTTGTGCATGATATGAATGGTTTGGACCTTGGTCAATCATATCTGCCCCGGTTTGCTTTGGCAAATAACAATGAAATTCATCCAATGATAATTGTTTATTTTTAGGGTATCTGAACAAGATTTTGCAGACATTCATAACAATCTAAGAAGGGGTGATATTATAGGAGTCAAAGGGAAACCAGGTATACCTCTTTACACTACTACTACCAATAAAAATTACACTAATAATTTCACTGGATATGCAGCCCTCGAAAACGAGGTTGGCATTCGGCAATGCTGACCTATCAAACTGTTAAAGAGTCAGTGATTATAGAATTTGATTTGTAGTTCGATTAACTAAACACCCTTTGGCGTAAGGTTTAAAAATTGATGGGTATTCTATAATAATTTAGGTAACACAATGGTTTAGAATAGCGGTTGTGTTACTGTAGTTTGTGTTTCCGTGGAAAAAGGCATGCTTTACATTCCAATTTCAATGATTCACTAATATGTGATTACTAGTGTTCCAAAACATGGAAACAGATTTTTAAAAATACCGAGAGATGCCGACCTAGGTCAGATTTAAACCTCAATTTTGATGGTTTCCGAGGGCTAGGTATGAAACTGGGACCAAAGGACATTTTTTGTCAGGTTTTGTTAGTGATTCCAGCCCTGTGTCAAGTGGCCCATGGTAATGCACTATGTAGAAACTGGTAATACTACTGAAACAAAATCTTGCCGACTTTTCAGGTAAAACAAAGAAAGGAGAACTGAGTATCATGCCGTTCTCAGTAACATTGTTATCACCTTGTCTGCATATGTTGCCTCATCTTCACTATGGACTCAAAGACAAGGTTACTGCTTCACATTTTTATGTTTCAAAGTGAAATCAAACCATTGTTTGCACAACTTTTTTTTACTCACTGCTGCTGAGTCATAACATTTTGTTTCCATCTTGTTTTGGTAGGAAACAAGATTTCGTCAAAGATACCTGGACCTTATTTTGAATGAACATGTTCGGGATAAATTTATCACACGAGCAAAAATAATCAATTATGTTAGGAAATTTTTGGACAATTTAGGATTTTTAGAGGTAGGGTTATCCAAAGTAAGTTGATACAGATGCAATAGATATCATATCCGGCCAGATACAAAGACCATCTTGGTATCAGGTGGGATACCAGCCAGATAGCAAGATGCTCTATCTGTTAAATTATTTTGTTAATTAAATTATTATTTATTGTTGATATTTTAGATAGAGACCCCAATGATGAACATGATTGCAGGTGGAGCTACAGCCAAACCTTTTATAACTCATCATAATGATTTAAATATGGATCTTTATATGAGAGTTGCTCCAGAATTGTATCATAAGGTAACCCAATGAGAGTATATTACAAAACATTTTTTTATTATATTTTATTTTATTGTTGAAATATATATATAGTTCTAACCCATTAAGCGTCAGCGCTCTAAAAATAATAAATTAGGGCGCAATGTGACTCATTGGGTTAACTAGACACATGGGCAGATAGCCAGTTAGCCCATTAGGCGCCCGTGCTCTTCCCTTAACTATTAAAATCATCTGGCGTTAGACAGAGTAAAATAATAAAGTAGGGCGAATCAGAGCGCAATGCGACTCAATGGGTTAATTCCAATGTACAGTACCACCGGGCCTTGGTACTTACAGTGAAATTTTTAATTTTCAATCTGTCAAAGATTTACCAGTATGTATATAGAATTATAGTTACTAATTCTTTAATAATATACCTTACCATCTGGGCAAGTTTCCTGCTTACTCATGCAGGATAAACTATATCTGGTAAGGTGAGATAAATTCCCAAGTTAATCCCAGATTCACAATTTCCAACTTGTGATATCTGTTTCATGCCTTGGGAACATTTTATTACAATGTACCTCTATGTAGATAAAAGTTACTCAAATAGTTTACAGTATTTAGAATTTTATATTCCTATTGCTATAAGGAATGAAGGGTTTTGCATGCTAAAATGCTAAATTAATTTCTGATATCTCAGGTCTCCATTTCTTTGTAGATGTGTACAGTTGGTGGTTTAGATAGAGTGTATGAGATTGGACGTCAGTTCAGAAATGAGGGTAAGTGATCGTGAGTTTGAATTAAAGAAGGAAAATTGGAATTGTCCAAAAATTCTGGATGCAACTACATTTCTATGCCTATTATTGCTAAAATTTCAAACTGTTAGCTAATTTTAGGACAATAGACCTTATGTATAATGACGTTACGTCGTTGAATTTTCCTAGGTATCAAGCCTTGTGACATCATGCATAAGGTCTATTTCCCACAGATCAATCAGATGTCACCTTTTCAAAATTGTCCATTTCACGAGTCACAACAGTAGGAGTGTAATAAGTTCTTTGAGGAGAAAGAATAAGTAGGAGTGTAATAAGTTCTTTGAGTTCTTTGTTCTTTTTTTCTTCTTAGTAGGAGTGTAGTTGCATTCTTGAATTTTTGATATGGGAAACATTCCACTTTTTGGGTGCAAGGAAGTGTCATTGAGTGTCCTTGCAAATTTCAAGCAAAGAATTTGGGAAATGATGAAAATATCCATCAACCATCTTTCGGGACTGAGTATAATGATGATATCAAACTCTGATCCTACTGTAGTTCTCTGCTATTGAAATGCAGGCACTTGATAAGAGAAACATCATATATTGAAAATCACTATGGTTTAGAAATCTATCCTATACAATGAATAATAAAAAAAATATGTATTCTTGTGTTCAGGCATTGACCTTACCCACAACCCAGAGTTTACGACATGTGAATTCTACATGGCATATGCTGACTATAAGGATCTTATGGATCTTACTGAGACAATGATATCAGGCATGGTGAAACACATTACTGGTAGTTACAAGATCAAATACCATTCTAACCAGACAGACACAGAGAAAGGTGAACCGATGGAGGTTGATTTTACACCACCGTTTAAAAGAGTTTCCATGATTTCCGAACTGGAAAAAATATTAAAGGTGACGATACCATCACCAACAACGTTTGGCACTCAAGGTAAGATTATCTGATGATCTGAAAATGATTGGAAAAGACATGGTCATTTATTCCAGTTGCCATCAAACATATATTTCAGATAACTGGATAGTTAGTTTACCTTACCACCTGGGCAAGTTTCTCTGTCATTTCCTTACAGAGTAAGCTATATCTGGTAAGGTTAGATTAATTTAAAACCCAAGTTAATCACAGGTCCACTTTGTAATAAATAGTGGAATCTGTTTCATGCCTTGGGTACATTTCAATTAATTACTGCATTCATTTAATCAGTTCCAGAAAATCCATTCACTAAATTTGATATTTATAATTTTTTATCTTTGTTCCAGAGGCGCGCAAGTTCTTTGATGATTTGTGTGTAAAACATGAAGTAGATTGTCCTGCTCCAAGAACAGTGGCTCGTCTTTTAGACAAGGTTTGTTGAATTATTGATCTAGACAAACACCACTACATTTGTAGTAGATGTACAACATGTTCGATGGGCGTAAGGACTTGTAAGGCACCATGTTCAACTGGGCATGGTATGAACCCTTAAAGTGGCAGGAAAATGACGAAATCCAAATTATTATACCATCTTTCGGGACTGATGAATAATGATGATGTCATAATCTGATTCTTGTCACTCTGCTTGCCAAAAAAGCTAGGTCAGGGAGTTATTTTTATTTAGCTAAGTCGCCTATTTTTCTCACCAGCTTGTTGGAGAATATTTGGAAAGTCAGGCTGTTAATCCGACATTTATTATTGAACATCCAGAGATTATGAGTCCACTGTCCAAATGGTAAGTGGTAGCACTTTTTCAAAGCTCAGACACAAACTTATATTTTGGATGTTTTTGATGCACACAATTATTTTACATAATTTTTATATTTTATTAAATTAATAAGTAACAGTATGGTTTCTTGTACAATTTGGAAAAAAACATACACTTGTGAGTTTTACATACACTTACTTGTGCATGTTTTTTTCCAAATTCCATACTGTACACAAATCACAATGAATAAATATAGTACCTTTTACCCTAGCCAGCACATTCAGGACGGGTTGTGGTCTAGTGAGCTTATCAAGTCACGCTTAATATTTTTCTTCAGGCACAGATCCATTCCTGGTTTAACTGAAAGATTTGAACTGTTTGTGTGCACAAAGGAAATCTGTAATGCTTACACAGAGTTAAATGATCCTGTCGTTCAACGAGAACGCTTCCAACAGCAAGCTGCGGTAAGGCAACAACGTTTCGTTAATATTAATAGACACCGTGATGACAGTAGGAATTTTGCATGGGTAAATTCTTACGCCCGTGTTCTAAAAGCTCACTCACACTCGCACTCATTGAGTGGAACTGAGTACAATCTGAGCTTCTCTCGAGTGTCAGTGCCCACCAGGCACACGACGTTGTTTCAACGTTGAAATTTGGTAGAAAAAAGGTTGCGACGTCGACAACCTAATATCTACGTTGCTCTGACGTTGTTTTAAAAACATTGGTTCAACAGCAGCCAACAGACGTTGAATCAACGTTCATTCACCCTATTTTTCAGACAACTTTTCCTGGAAAAAAGTATCCAGTTTGGATAATACACAGAGGTAATAATTAAATAATCTATTTAAATATCCAATTTCTCAGGATAAAGCTGCAGGAGATGACGAAGCTCAGATGGTAGATGAAAATTTCTGCACAGCTCTTGAATATGGTCTTCCTCCCACGGCTGGCTGGGGACTGGGGATTGATCGTCTTTGTATGTTCCTCACCGACTCTAATAATATCAAGGTAAATATGTTATTGTGTAGGAAACATTAAAATCACTAGTTCTGCTGTAGTAAATTGCTCTCTCTCTCTTGAGGGATTCATATATTGTACACACCATTAAACAGTACAGTACCTTGTGATCACTTCTGAACTTCAGAGATATTTTATAAATATAAATTTAAATTAGCATTTTTGCCACCAACATTAATAGCTTGTTAACTTTATTGTAACTTTTCTTGTTTTCCCTTGGCATCAGAGTTGAGAAAACTTTATTGTAACTTTTCTTGTTTTCCCTTGGCATCAGAGTTGAGAAAACGTTGCCTGCCAGTTTCCTCTCATCACCTGTCACCCTTGTTTGAATGCAGTGCAATTCAAATCTGAACCTAATAGATGTTGTAATAAGAAATAACATTGTCTTGTAGGAGGTGTTGCTATTCCCAGCTATGAAACCTGATGATAAGAAATCCAGAGAAGAAGAAGCAGAAGGAACAAGCTAGGCATCATCAAGAACTGTTAGTTTAAGCATACATATCTGAACTGATTTTATTATGAACAATAATCAAGAAATAAACTATTCTCCGTTTGATAGTCAGGGATTTATGATGCAAGCAGTTGTTCAAAAGGAGTAGCGTTAACCTTAGGTAAAACTAGTTGTTTTGGTCTGGTTACATCTGCAAATCCGTTTACTTCCAAATTTTAAGACTTAATATGTTGTTGGTACATCATCATCCAATATTGTTGGCTTGGCTTGAACACCATGTTGGCATTGTTGGGTAATGATGGCGGTTGATATTGAATTGAGTTTGAATTTGAAATTTTCATTTAATATTCCCGTACACCCTCTCTCGACTCTCTGCTGAAAACGAAAATTATGAACTTTGCTATTAACTTGAACAGCGTTTTATACAACTAGCCTATACCAATGCAAAAACTCGTGAGAAAATCTAACAAATTCAATTCAAGTTATTCTATTTTCACTTGTGCAACTCTGAAGAGCAGGATAAATTATAAAAAAAACAAGATAAATTATATTTACTGTTTGTAAATTAAATTAATGTGACTGATCATCAATATAATGTCAGACTATGTAATGGCTTTGACACTCACATTTAGCTGCAAAACAAAAGTTAACTTCTTAATATTTCCTTCATATTTTGCCAATTTTCAAAAACTAAAAACTGGCAAAAAATAGACAAAGAAATAAAGCCTAACACCTTAAAAACTACGCCTTAAAACATATTGAAAAAGGCACTGTTTTGGAGTATTTATTGTTGTTATTGAAAAACGACTCCAAAACCTGGGAGGGCGTCCATTTTTAACTATTTACTAAGTCATTGAACCACAAGACCACTGAAACAGTGACTCGGACATTTGACTCGGATTAGGATTTGACTCGGTTAACCGACAAACTCGTACATTGCCTGATAAAGTTATTTTTATACTTTGTTAATGCAATACTAGATTATATTAAATATATGCAACAAAGGCTTGAGTCCTGACGTATTTCAAGGCTTTTTGTCAGTATATGCTATGCTTTGACAATTGAGAAATCACTCAAAACACCAGTACGAGTTATGAATATACTCTGAAACCACAAAAGATGTTCATGGCATATAAATTACATGTAATGAAGTTATAGCATTTCCCGTTCTCTATTTGTCCCCCACAGGTGCCTGCCTCAGACTAAAAATGTCACGTAATACAATATCACTCACTTTACACCAAGTACTGAAGAGCTTGGAGCGCGGGCGCGGAGTAGGATGACGTCATAGGCTAGGATTGCGCCCGCGCTCCAAGCTGACAAATCTCCTTAAGTTTGCAGCACTTCATGCAAATTCAAATTTATTTTTCACAGTGATATTATTTATTTCTTGCCAGCAGCTTTACTTTAGGGTTAGGGGTTAGAGGTTATGGGGGTGAGGGTTAGGGTTAGGGTGGGGGTTAGGGTTACAACCCAATAACTTTGTTGATATAAACGCAAGGAGCGGCTGACCCGTGGACCCCCTGGCCCTGTCATTCTAAAATAGCTCGGAATTTGTCGACTTGTATCGTAAAGTGCCGAGATCCCGACGGAGTGCCGGGAATTTCCGAATTTCAATTTTTACCGCGTGGCGAAGAGTGGAGAAGCCGAGGGAGAAGCAAGGAAGAATTAAAATGGAGGACATTTTTTATCAATCTTTATACCTTTATTGGAAGGTAATATGCTTTATTTAATATCAAACCTTGTAGTAGAGTACTTAGATTGCCAATATACATGGAAGTTTAAGACATCGAGCCCTAATTTAATGCGATATTTCGACATAAAGTTTGCTTTTGCTTTGCACGTGGTTCGATTTATGGGCGATTGTCGAACTTTAAACCGTGTTTTTATTCATAACTATTGTCGACCAAGTGAGTAAAAAGACTAACTAAGATCTAGAATTGTTTAAGCTGTCGAAAAGTTGTTGTCTAACTTTATATCTCTTAGTTCTTGCCGAAAATTTTTTAAATATACATTTTATTGATTCTTGCTTGCAAAACAAAGTTTAATTAATAATTACAAATAAAACTAAGTGAAAATTGCTACAATGAGGCAAAAGCCAGAATTGTGTTTCTTTAGTGAAAATCTAGGAGGTTTGGTCATAGTTAGGTGGGGCAAGCTTCTCAGTAAGCGGGCTAGTAAAGTTTGTAGGCTGAGGGTGGTTTGAAAAAAGATTGTTCTTTTGAGGTCTTTTGAAGCACATTTATGCACATATCAACGGCCTGCCCGGGGGGTACACCCCCGGGACAACCGGGGGGAAACGAGGGGGAATTTGGTATTTTAGCCGTGTATTCTGCCCGTGAACCCCGGGGAAATTACAAACTTCGCAATAATAGGACGACAGGGGGAGGGGAAG